AGTACAAACACGTGTTTGGCACTTCTCCGATTAGCTGTCACCGAGACAAATGCCGCTCTAACGTTGACAATTACATTAACCAGGCAAAGCGCTGTCGTGAGAAGTCCGATTCAGGCCGTCGCTGTAATTCCTTCTATGGTAGCTTCGCAACTTGATGCTCGTTATGCACACCCTCCTTTCTATGCTCTCTACGATGCCAACTCCTCATGGAGCTATTATTTAGCGATCTATATTTTATACCAAGAAGTATTTGCTGTACAACGTATTGATGTTCATGTTGAGTACAAATAAACCAATTTGAATTATATCTCACGTCTGTTCAACTCAAGAAAACACAACGCAATCGATGTCCGTTTCAATAACAATTCCGCATGATTAGTCAGTTCGTTTTATGTGACGAAAAGAACACCCCAACGCCTAGTTTTGCGATATAAACTTATCCACCACAACATTTGACAACAATTTTAAAAGCTAAAAGTATGCCATATTTCATTTCAGTTTTGAATTAAAGAGCCATCAGTCGGTGTTTCCATGCGAGAATGGAAGGTTGATTTCTTGTTCACTAAATTTGTTTTTCTGGTTTTCCTGATTTCTAGCATTCTGATCAGATATGAAATTCTCATGCGACAAAATTAATCTCTGCAGGCAAAAGTTCATACACCAGAGCGCACAAGTTTCTGAGGTAACAGCGAAACTCAAAACTTGTCTATTGGCAGATATAAATCCACTTGTAGATTGACCAAATAAAAATGGGAAAACATTTGGCAAATCAAAATAAAGTTGTTGATGTTATTAATTATTACACTCAAAATAACGAAAAGAAATCGAAAGAAACACAAACCTCTCGTACTTGTAATTTTGATATGTGTAGATTGTGGCATCTCGCGAGATTGTAATTGTTGGATTTGTCGTATCTGATCGTCACTCATCATATGCCGCTTTGGCGGCGGCCCGCCATCAGTCGCTTCCAAGGGAATGCCATGATGGTTCATAACCATGGAACGATGTGTCGGTGTGGAAGGTAAGCTGTCCTCGTCTGAAGGATAGAAAGTTTACAAGTAATAAGTACATACTAGTATACGGTAGATGAACAGCATTCATAAATGGTGATATTGGTTGACCAGAGACGAAAAGAGTAATAATGGACAAGTAGAATACACACGTTTATGCAGTTATGACAGTGTCGCTTTAAAAAATAAATTAACTTATAAAATTGTCAATGTTCCACGCAGAATAAATAATATTTTGCACTCCTTACCGGAAGAAAGACTGGCTGAACCATTGTTTCCAGAATTGTTCGGTATTCTTAATGCTTGTGGTACCATGGATGGTGGTGGTGATCCAGGTGAATGTAAAAATGAACCAGGTGATGAGTAGCTCGGGCGACGACCTTCACGTCTATTACCATCGATGGCTGCTTGTAGTTCAGCTGGCGAACTCATTTTTAATTTTTCACATTCATATGGATAAAGGTATTTCATGTATCTAAGTAAAAAAACAACAAGGTTTTTCATTAGTTATGGCTGTATTTAGAGCTAGACCATTAGAAAATTCAGAGGTTGATGGCAGAATTGGAAAAAAATAATTTGCACAGGATTAAAAGACCTGCAGGGAACAATAACAGATAAATATTGCATGTCTAAATATTAGAGGAAAAAATATTTCACAACAGGAAAAAACAAATTACAGCTAACTCATCATGGAAAACAGAAAATTGCACATAAGCAAAGTAAAGGAAACATAACTTTTATAGTTTTTCTACCATCATGCATCATCAGTTTCTAATGATCTAATGGTCCACCCATTAATTGTTTAAGATATTGCCGGACAGGGGAATGCTGATGATGACAGAGCCTTTGAAAATCAACCGAATTCTTTTTTATTTTGCATCTTAGATGATATTTTTTAGCTTTACCTATGTTTTGGTAAAATTATGCAACATTTCAATAATAGCATGAATACTGTATTTGCTCATCTTCGACAGAAGTGCATGTAAGCCAACAATTCAGGTATTGTATACGGTATTTAATTATTTAAAAAAGACTTGTTTTGCGCATAGATTCAGTGTTATTTATGTAAGCGCATACACTACTGAAAGAACCACGAATATCCACAATTTTGACAAATCCAAATGTCTAAAAAAGAATTTCAGCGTGATATACCGTAATGCAAACTTAGAATGTTGAGTGCAAAAATATTCAAAATAGATGCAAATATGGCTATATTTATGTAACGCTAATGCATAAATAGTAATTTAGAATATCTATACAAACAATCTGACACTAATTATAGTTCTCGCAACGAAAATGCCTTGCTACTTACTGTGTCCTGAGTGTGAAAGCCGCGCTTGTGATGGAAGATGGCAAACTTAAACCCTTTGTAATTTCACGCCATAGTTTTTTGTTTATAACTTCTACCAGACCACCTTTGGATACCACTAGCTTGAACAATTCATATAAATCTAAAGTCTGCTTTGCCATGATCGGAATTCGGTTGACTGGAGTGCCTGGAAGTATACACATAACATTTAAAGACATAATGTAATAAATTTTATAAATGCATGAATGAATGTTGTTTTATGGAAATTTATAAAATATTAAAATCAAAGAAAGCTTAGAAAGAACTCCCATGTGCCGAGAGTATTGGAGACACATTAAATATAATTCGAAATTACTTAGCTGAAAACTAATTATGCAAATCAGAAAATTAATATGACCAGATTTGAGTGTAAAACTAATGAGGTCTGCGCAATGTAACAGAAAATCTATGTCTCCAAGTTTAATTGAAATGTGATTAGAACCAAAAAATTATGAATTATTATGCTTATTAGGGAATTAATATGAACAGATTTTTACCCCAAACTAATTAGGTTTGTACATTGTCCTAGAGCATCTTTGTACTA